GCCCTCTGCACTGCAGACCAATTAAACAAAAAAATCTCGAGGACTGGCATTGGTGATTTTCAGGTTCCCAGGAACATTCCAATGGCAGCCAAATGTGCAAACTTGGATCTTCTAGGTCAGTTCTTTTTAAACTTTAATGTCCATGCATTTATTATGATAAAAAAGAAATGCAACTCCCAATCTGCTAGATGCCAGATGTCCTCAGTTCATGTCCCCTGGATATCGAAAGATGAATTTCGTGGGACAATGGAGGTTAAGAGCAGGCAAGGTTTACTGAGAGAAAGCTCCCGAGAGACAAGAAGGGTCCTGAAGGTAGGGGGCCACGGAGCCCCTTCATCAGGGAAAATCTGTTGAGCAAAGTCACAACATGGGTCAAACTATCATCAGCCTATAGGACTACAATTATAGCTACGTAACTAGTATTAATTCAGCGGGAAAATGAGTCATGTAGCAAGGGTACACGGGAAGAACAAAGTCATTTTGGGGAAGGGATGGGTCCAGATGCTTTGGTCACCCCCCTCGGCGACTGATGTCCATCTGGACTTACTGGATGAGGTGGTGCTAATTACACTATAATTTCTAATCATTGTTTATTCCTTAGGGAGGCATACAGGCCTGACTGTTGATCTGCCTGTTCCTCTTCATATGCACCTTGAGCCACATTCTGGTCTTCATTTTTGTGTAGACTTCCCTGAGACTCTAGTGCTTTCCTGACTGTGTATTAATTTCTACTTAACTTAGCTACCCAGAATAAATTGGGGACTTATTAAGAGGAAATTCTGATTCAGGATGCTGAATGGTACCTCAGATTCTGCAGGCTCTTAGGCAGTGGTGATTCTAGGGAAACAGTTAATTCTGTACGAACTGAGCTCATGGTATCTCAGTGTCCAAAAAAGAGGGCTCTAGATCTAGTGTAACCTTTAAATTCTTAAACCCAAGGCCCTCAGCACTCCTGCCATTTTCCCTTCTGCTGGCATGTGACTACTTTGTAAGTATACTGTTGCCTGATAAAAACATTGCCACTTCTTCCTTAGCGTCACCTGCCATGTACAATTCCTTGTTGTGCACAAGAATTTTGAACCTCATCTAGGACCACATCACACACAGTAACAAACGCCTTGCATCTGTAACTGTGAAAAATAAATTTTTGTTCTTTAAGCTACTCAATCTATGATATTGTGTCATGGTAGCCCCAACCTACAAAAAAATTGAATTTCAATTGTATTAATTGTGTGTTAATAAAGACATTGTCAAATCATCTTTGTTTTTCAAGAAAGGATGCCAAATGGAAGGATCATTTTGTGGAGGAGATGAAGCAGATTATACATATTATTTTAAATACTGTTTAACTCACTCAGTCAATTATCTTTGGCAAAGAAGCCAAACATTTTCAAAGGGATGATAGCCTCTTTACTAAATGGTGCTGGAAAACTGGTTTTCCACATGCCAAAGACTAAAATGTGTCTCTCACCATGCTCTAAACTAAAATTAAAATGGATCAAAGATCTAAATATTAAAAGAGAAACATTAAATTTGTCAGAAGAGAGAATAGATAGAACTCTTGAAGATATACGTGTAGGCAGAGATTTAATAAACAAAACCCCAGTTGCATGGGAAATACTACAAAGAATCTACAATTGGGATTTCATCCTACTAAAAAGATTTTACACAGCAAAAGAAACCACCAGAAGAATGAAAAGACAACCCACAGACTGGGAAAAATTTTAGGCACTTGTCCCTCAGACAAAGGACTTATATCTAGAACATATAAAGAATTGAAAAAAATCAGCTCCTCCCCAATCCAAAAGTGGGCATCTGAGATAAATACACATTTCTCAGAAGAAGAAGTAGAAATAGTAAATAAATACATGAAAAATGTTCAGCATGACTGGTCATTGGAGAGATGCAAATTAAAACAATGCTGAGATTCCATTTCATTACACAAAGGATGAGTACCATCAAGAAATCAACTAATAACAAATGCTGGTGGGATTATCAAGGATCCCTTCTCTACTGTTGGTGAGAGTGTAGACTGGTGCAACCACTATGGAAATCAGTATGGAAATTCCCCAGAAAACTAGAACTACAGATTCTGTTTCAGCCAGTTATTCCATTTCCTGGTATCTTTCCAAAGGAATTAAAACTATCATACTACAGTGATATATGTACACCTATGTTTATAGCAGCATAATTTATAATACCTAAATCTTGGAAATAACCCAAATGCCCATCAACCAAAGAATGAATAAAAGAGATGTGGAGTTTTTTATACCATGGAGTACTACTCAGTCATGTAGAATGATAAACTTGAAACATTTCTAGATAATTGGATACAACTCAAGATCACACTCTCAAGTGAAATAACTTGGACACATGTGTAAATATTAAGTTGTTTCTGTGGTATGAAAGATTGAAAGTGTAAATAAGAACCAAAATATTATAACAAATATTGTGAAATAGAAAGAAACTGTTCAAAAGGAAAGTGGAATGAGGGAGGAGGAAGAGCAAAAGAAGGAAAGGGAAACAAAAAAAAAAAAGAAAAGAAAAGAAAGAGAAAATGGAAACAAAGCTTTGTGAAAAGAAGAAGAAGAGGGATTGAAGGGAGGGGAGGGGAACAGGAAAAGAAGAGGAATTAGGAGATGTCATGTACAGATACAAATTCCCTATAATGAATGTGATCATGATGTGTGTCCTATCTTGCAGAACTCTTAAAAAATATATCTGAAATTGGAATAAACTTGTAAGCTGTGAGGTCTTAGATTAGATCTGTGTTTTCAAACCTACCTGCATATTTAGATCATCTGGGGAGGGTTAACAAAACAGTGCTGCCTCACCTCTGCCCTCAGATGTTCTGTTTACTTGGCCTGGGGTGGACACAGGCATGATCATTTGCAAAAAATAAAAACAAAAACTCTTTGGGTGAAGGTAATATATAGCCAAGATCAAAAATCACTGTGGTAGACACAATACTTTATGTACATGTTTACTCTGCATTGAGGCTTCTTGTGACGTTTATTAAAAGGTAGCACAAAGGAGGAGATAGATATTCCATCAATGCTTGATGACTAACAGCTTTTCTTCATCTGGCTATCCCAGAGCTAGGGGTGTAACTCAGTGGTAGAGCACAAGCCTAGTTTAGGTTCAACCCGTAGCATCACAAAACCAAAAATTTCCCAATGGGCTACCTGGGCTTTAGCTTGCATGCCTGATATTTCACTGATGGACAACAGTGAAAAGCAACATGGCGGCTACTGGGGTAGCTATGGAATCAGAGAGAGCAGATAAAATACACTGCTGGATTTACCAGATGCTGCAAACCAGCTCAGGAACTTGTAGCTTGACCTCAGTTGATTTCAGCAGAACCGGAGTAAAATAGTTAAGATGCTGAGACCATCCAACATGCCGAGGTCCAGGACACCTCAGGGAAGAACCCGAAGTTCAAATGTTTTAAAAAAGGATTTGTTATTTTGTGAAGTCTGTTAGGTGATTGATGGAAATTATGTGAGTTATTCTCTTACTAGTGAAATTGTATGTATTTCTGCTTAGCTATGTATTGTAATTATTAATCACCCCCTTTCGGAATCATTAGTGGTTGATCTGTTGTCAGTTGTTTAGATATTGTGAAAGTAAAGCGTGTGTTCATTTTCTAGACACCTGCTCCCTCCACTCCGGCTACTCCCATACAGCAAGATAAACAGTATGGTGCTTGTTCTTGTTTGACCAGTTCCTCCACCCTTTTATTTTCCTTTATTTGCTGCAGGCTAATCTTCAATCAGCAGGTGTTTTCCCATGAGTGGAACTCCTGAATTGCATCAAATTCCTTAAGTGGAACTTGAATTGCATCAAATTCCTTAAGTCTGTCTGATTCTAAACCAGTTTGGTTCTCACAGTGAGATACCATCATCGTGCTGCTGATGCTGTCCTCTCTTTGGTCCATGTAAACTCAGTCTGTAACTTGTCTTTGCTCAGTGTTGAAAAGAGAATCACTGCCTTATTTGCCTCATTGCATTACTATGGGATCCAGAAAACAGATTATTAAAAGTGTCAGAAAAATGTTGCTTTTTTTCTCCCTTTTTCTGTGCACAGAAGGTTACTTTGAAGGAATTCAACTTAACCAAGGTAACCATAGTAAATAAAACTCCATTGCATTCTGCCCATAGGAACTTATTTTCTGTTTCCTCCAAGGTGTATTCATTATAATCTAGCTTTATAGCTCGATAGGAAAGAGACCACTCTCATTACAATATAATTTAATTTAAAACTTTTGGCAATATGATGAAATATTAAGTGAAAACGAAAGAAAAGCTAATTGAGTGCTAGAGCTGTTCTGAGCTGGATGACTGCTGTGCCCACTGCTATTCTGTGAAAACGATTTGTTTTGTTGGATGTAAATTGTTCTGCAATTTACTTTCTGAATGTTTGCTAGGCACAGGAAGGAGCCATGTATCTTACCCCAGAGCCATTCTAGAGGTGCTGCAGGGGCCTTCTCCCTAGATACTAACTGACCAAGACATGTATTTGGTGTCTATGGCTGCTGAGTCATATGGGAGACATTTTTAAAGCAGTCTACAGGAAGATGAGTGCAGGTTCTGCACGAGTCCTGTGCTGTTTTATGTAAGGGACTTGACCATCTGCAGGTTTTGGTATCTACAAGATGGTGCTGGATGGACCCCAAAGATATCAACAGATCACTGCACTTCTTTTCTAACTGAATCAAGGGGAGATTTCATTATACTGACTGCTTTCAGCTTCTATCTTGCACAATATAATTATTGAAAGATAAGACAATTTTTTTTGTTCAGGTGCCAAATCCATTGTTACACCAGAGATGGTTCTATGGAGAGCTTTCTAAAAACAAACTTCAATTTCAAAGAAAATAAAAAAGCAAAATTAACTTCAGTAGTTTTTTCTTAAAACCCAGGGGCTTTCTTTTCTTAATCTCAAAATATGGATTATTTTTACCACAACATATACTTAATGTCCATAAACTCCAAAAAGCATAATTAAACACATTATTTTATTGCAAATGTAAAATACACAAAACATTTAAAAATCTGTGTTCTAAAATGAACAATATTCATAAACATTTGAAAAATAGAAAGTTTCCTGAACATAATTTAAGGTACATGAGAACATTTCACATATATTAATATAAATTACTTTTTTAAAGATAGCTTTGTTGAAAGGTAAGATTAGCATTTAGTGCAGTCTTACTGGTTTTCAGAAAAGATACTTTTGTTGGACTATTATATTAGTTCTGATAGTACCATGACAGAATTCACTTTCACTTGGAAGATGTAACAATTGAGAAAAGATTAAGGATTTACAAAATGTGGCATTCAGCAATCCTTATGTTTCTACTAACAAGACTAAAAATTAACATGTTGATTCAAGGAGAAGTGAATCTATCAAGTGCCTATAAAATATTGGACTTGATGTAAGGAGTCTTCCATGTAATCATTTGAAACAGTGAGTGTTAATTTCATGTTGCTAATTCTAAAGGGTTTAGGAACTTCTGTAATCTGAACTAAAAATCACTAACCACTGACTAAAGAGTAAAAATATAAGACCAAAAATAAGGACATTATTTTTACAGCTTAAAAAAAACTCATTTTTGTACTGCACAGTTTCACAGTCCTTAATGACATATGTACCAATATTCACATAATAAATCCTACAAATATATCTATGTGATAACTATTTACATATATATTAAAATGTATACATATGTACACACACAAAGGAAATAACTAGTTAAGACTAACATAGTTGGTGAGAGGGGATCCAGCATTTTATTCTTCAACAGCATGTTCCTATTTGGGAAAATTAGTGCAAGATTTGCAGACATTTTGAAGTTTTTAATCCATATAACAACCACTAATTTTTACATAGAATACTTTTCAAATAGTTCATGGTTTTCCCACATACAATTCAAATCTTTTTCAGTCTTTCTCAAGGGCATGTACGTCAACACCAGCTCATTTCCCAATCCAGGATACACACTGATCTTTGTGTTTCAAGAAACTTTGATCTGGGCACCATGTACCAAGGGCAAAACTTGACATTTAAAGTATTAAGTAATCAGTGATATTTAATAAGTATGTGAAAGTTGAATTCTGCAGGGGGAAGCGCCCTTAGGTTAGATGTCAAAAACATCATGAATTCCTTCACCAAGAAGGTTTTCTGGGGAAACCAATGGAGTTCTCAATACTCAAAAGAACATTTAAAAAGTTCTAGTTTTCAAATACTACTTTTTTCAGGAGATGCTTCTACAAATTTGTGTTCATAGCTTATCTATCTCATATACAAGTGAAAGGAACCACCAGTCTACAGAATATACATGTATTTAACCTGCAATATCAATCCATGGGTCTTTCATGGATAATCAATTTTCAAAAATTTAGAATGGCTTGAATTATGCTCAGCACTGAACTATGCTGAAGATTCTAGAAGCAGTTCAGGGCTGTCATTTCAGATCATCACTGTGAACATCAGTCATTGTTCACTACAGTTGTGAAGATGCTGAGGTCCTTTAACAGAATTCTCAGTGGCACAGTTTACTATCGTCATGGGTAGGCTCGACTTGGTCAGAAACAGAAAAACCAAATAATGTTTGAAGGTAGAGTAAGAAACAATCCAGGCAAATGAAAAGTTTCTTTTTGGTAGTTTTGTTTGGACAGAAATTTTGTCTAAATTTGACAGCAAATTTGTTTCCTATAATACCAATAGGTGATAGGAAATCTGCCCATAAACAATAAAGTTCCCCCCAAATGTTATTCCTGCCATGAATCTGGAGTGAAACAGGAAAATTGTATGAAAATTTTAATGTGAAAAAGATACTTCCTCTGAGGTCTTAATATTTTGTTTTCAAGATCATTCTCCTTCCTTCTCTCCTTGGATACATTATCAGTTAACTGTATGGGAAAACGTGGCCAGGATGAATTTAACAGAAAAAACCAACCTGGCCACTTAGAGTGATAGATATGCTCATTTTGAAAACCTGTAACTGATTACAATTTCTTTATTAAGGGTAACAGCACCAAATTTTGAGAAAATCATTAGGATAATTTGTTTAGGGTCTTTTTTTTAAAACAAAGACTATTTTTTCCATTGTTTCCAAACAGCCTTGGGAAACCTATCCCATAGGTATAAAATATTTGAGAAAAGTTAATGTGGACCAGAAAAAAAAAAAAGTTAATGTGGACCATATTAGCCCTAAAAACGTAGCAGCTATTTCCCAAAAATATCTGTCATCAAGAAAATTAAACTACGGGATAATAAAGAATAGGACAAAATGAATATAAATAACTTTAAAGCTGAATTCACCTGGACTTCACCAGCAAGTTCATTTTGTCTGATGCTGTCCAGATCTGTGTGCAAAGAACCTGTTTGTTGTACATGGGGTTTTGGGAAAATTCATTTCCTTTATCTGAGGTCTGAAGTACTCTCCTCCCCTCTCCATCCCCCTCTTTAATTGCCAACAAAGTCTTTACTTTGTGAATAAACTATAATTGACGTCTTCATGGGTGGGTGTGCGTGTTTATTCCAGCCCACTGAGGTACAGATTCTGACAGCAGGCCTGTTTTATTCTTTAATACTCTGGCCTTTAGTAGTTTTATGGCTTAAAAAGAAGGAAGTTGCTGAACGGAGGATAAACCAACAGTATTCTCACTTCTCAATTTTAATAATGTGAGACTATGGCTCATCACAGAATGGTGACTTCATTGATCTGAACACAGATAACTTGGTCTGAGAATTAGCACAAATCTAGGAGAAGCCATCAAGGAAATGAGGCCCCACCGGGCAAAGTCAAATCTATTGTGGTCAGAAGAGCTTATGCTGAGACAAATATAACTCTTTGACTTCTTTCATGCTTAGGCAATATTTTAAAATATGCAGTTATGGAAAAGATGCGGAAATCTTCTGGAAGAATATCAAAACTTGATAATCAAATTTGATGGCCCAAGTGAGTAACTTTTTAAAAATCTGGCCTCACATTTAAAGTATTAGAATTTTAAAAACACCTATTTTCCCAACAGTACTTCAACAATAAGTGTTCTTTTCCTCTCAAAGTGTCTTATACTGGTGAAAAATTTAGGATTTACAGAGTCTTTGATCATCTGTCCTGCTAAACAAGGTCATGTCATCTTCATATCCTGCTGCTGAAAAATCGACATTCTCTAGTAACATGTAATTGTTCTCATTGGCATTTGGAGAAAGGACTTTTTCCTTAGCAGTGGATGTCAGGTCACTCCAGGTAATGTCAGTATTTTTAAAAGCATGTAGAAGGAAGATACCATTGATGATGGTGAAGAAGCCACTCAAGGTTCCGATGATATCTCCAGCTTTCATGCCATACCACTCTTGGAATAAGATGGCAGAACAAGTCACCACCATGGATGTGAAGAACACGTAATAAATAGGAGTCACAAGAGATGTATTAAACGTGTCCAGGGCTTTGTTGAGATAGTTAATCTGTGTTGTTACCGAAAGCACAAGAACAGCCAGCAAAATGAAGACCAATGGATTCTTGTAACTTGGCTTCTGACCTAGTAGTTCCTTAATGGCAATTCCTAGGCCCTTGACAGAAGAAACTGAAAATGCTCCAATCAGAGAACAGATTGAAATGTACACCAGGATGTTGGTCTGTCCTTTCTTGGGAGCTACAATTAAAATCAGCACCAAGGTGATCACAGTTACGATCACAGCAAAGGAGATAAATCCTGTTAAAAAGAGAAAGGAATTATACTTCAGAAAATGTTAATTTTCCGCAAAGATCACGCCTTTCTGGAATTTTGTTAGTCATGAATTTAAACGGATAGGTGCTTTAGAAATGGAAGATTAAATTAAAACCAATTCTATTGCAGTTTTCATTTTATAAAAAAAACTTTCACAAACACATCATCTGAATCTTGCCAGTATAATTAGGTCAGACGGTACTGCCATTTTAAAATTTAGAGTGAAAATACCAAAAATTTGATCATAAATCTTATGCCTCTACCAAGCCTATCTCTCCCGTTCATTACATAGACACAAAAATAAATGCTTTCACTTTTCCAGAATTGTAGTAAACAAATCTTACTGTGTCACACAATCTGCAGTTAGGTTTGCACAAGCACTATTACTACATTATTACAATTATCACTTGATTAGGACAGAAAGAGAAGCAGAAGTTGAATGTTTACTGTTTAGGCTGACTCACAAACCTGGGTCTCTCAATTTCATTTCCATTTCCTGCAAAGAAGTGACTTCCTCTTCTTGTGGGGCATGGATAACCATCACGGTTGACCCCAATATACTTAATATGCAGCCTATTTTTCCATGAATGTTCAAGTGCTCATTTAAAAAATAGGAAGACAATATTGCACTGCAGGGAGAGAAAAAAAATACAATCATTGTGGTTCAGTTACCTTTTGATTCCACAGCAGCTCAGAAGTCATACGGCAGTATCCCAATGAGCAGACCTGAATATGCTATGTGACACAAAAAGTCTGGGTGAGCTGTACACTCAGAATGGTGGCCAATCACCTGTGCCTCAATGCTTTTATATCTGAAGAGCTATCATAGACATTTAACAGTCCTGTCATCCTCCAAGACCTTCTAAGAAGCTCTGTTCTTTTGCAGTTGTCCCATTTCTCCTATAAAGTCAAGCAAACAAAAGAGTTTTCACATTTTACTGGCACGATACAGTATCCCTTATCTGAAATGCATAGGACCAGAAGTATTTCAGATTTAAAAGTTTTTGATCTTAGGGATATTTGCATATACATAATGAGATATCTTGGGGAAGGGGACCCAATTTTTTTTTTTTTTTTGTGGTGTTTTTCCTTTTTATCGGTACCAGGGATCGAACTCACGACTGCCTGCTTGCAAGGCAGGCGCTTATGCTGCTGAGCTAAATCCCCAGCCTCTGCCTTGGTTCTTTTGCATATCAGTGTTCCCAAAATCCTTTGGTTGTTGTGCATTGGTTTCAGGGAGCTCAGGACTGGCACTCCCAGAGAATGTGTCACTGCTTAGATCTGAAATATTGCCCCCAAACTCCTGAGCTGAAGGCTCAGCTCCCAGTGCAACAGTGTCCAAGAGGTGGGCTTTGGGCAGTGTGACTGGATCATAAGGCTACAGCCTCATCAGTAGAAACCCATCGATAGGTTCTCAGCTAAATGAGCTATTGGGGGGTGGCAGAAACTGTGGTAGATGGGGCCGACTTGGAGGAAGTATATTGCTAGGGGTGTATCCTTGAGAGGTGTGCTTTGTGGCTGGTGTTCTCCCCTCTAGAGACTCCTGGCAGCCACCAAGAGAGCAGCTTTACTCTAGCATGTGCACCTTGCCATGATATTCAGCCTTGTCAGAGTCCCAACGCAATGGGACCATGCCTATAATCCTAGCATTTGTAGGCTGAGGCAGAAGGATCACTATGTAGTTTGGGCTACACAGTGAGTTCAAGGCCAGCCTAAATTATATAGCAAGATCCCACATCAAAACCCAAAACAAAATAGCAGTGGGGCTCCTGGATACCAGCCTCCTTCCTTGGATATTCTGGCACCCCCAGTACTGCAAACAATGGTGCTTACTCACCCTCAAGATGAGGAGCAATCACCAGGTGCTTTCCTAGAATTGTCCTCACGTGGCGGCTTGTGGGATTGTAGCTTTAGTGAATACTCACACTATCACTATACTATTCATTCACTTTAAAGACAGGAGTTCTGTGTGCTTTATTGTATTCCTTAATTCTCAGGAAAAATTCTTATAGCAAGGATAAATAAGAGTGAGTAGGCTCAATCATCAGCTTTCTCGTAGAGGCTGACAGTGAATGGAGATGAGAAAGACAAAATGGTAGCCCCGCCACAAAATGAGTTCATGACCTCACTGAGCACAGGTATTTGGGATCACACCATACATTAATTCAGAAAAACCAATCCCACATACTATGATCCACATGCTATTTTTAATAGTCTTCCTGTACTACAAGAAACTTCTGGGGATCCAAACAGAAGTATCCAGCAGACAATTTAAGAATTTTAATGAGAATTGACATTTAGTCCAAACACTGCATTTTAAAGTTCTCTGATAGCTACAGTCATCGATCACTGTGATCACAGAAGGAATTAAAAGGACTCTGGCAATTTATTCAGGTGAGAGATATAAAAACAAAAATAAAACTCTGCTACAGTTCACTGAGTCACAAATGTAGTGCATAATTACTTTATGCTAGCAGGAAACCACATTCACTGTCATAGTGTTTACAAATAATTTTGACTTCCCAATTCTACTGCCATTTTTAATAGTCTAGGTAAATGTACCACGACTAAGCCACATCTCTGGTCCAAGAAAAAAATTTATCCTCATTTTATAAATGAGGAACTAAAGTTTAGTGATCTATCCAAAGCTTTTCAAGAGTCTTATAATTATTATGGGTCATTTGTACTATCAGAGTTCAGGTTGGCATTGACTTTTTGTTTGGAGGGGGAAAAAATTCTTTCCTTGAAAATAAGACCTAGCCAGGAAATAATCAACCTTGAAAAGTAGAGATTCAAAAATGCTAGCCCTGATCACCCCCTTGCCTACCTGCCATTCGTATTCTTTTGCTCAGTGACTACTCTGTAAGGCAGGGCTGCTTGGGGCTGGCATTTTTGATTTGTAGTTTTTAAGGCTGATGCTTTTCCACCAAGGTTTAATTTTCAGGAAAGCATGGTAGCAATATGCTTGTTACAGCTTAAGTGCACCACGATACTGAAATACCTATAGAAGCCATACTCTTTATTGCTCACCTACCTTATGAGAACACTCAAGGCGCCGAGAGGGGTGACCAAGGTGGCAGGTGCAAATGCATAAGCTGCAAAATTTGCAGCCTCTCCTACTCCCACTAGAAAGCAAGCAGAAGTATTAATGTATATGGTTAAGTTACTTATTGGAAGAGAAAACCAAATGACCCCTGCAAAGCAGTGGACTTTATCTTGATTACACTAAAAGATCTAGATAGAAGGAATGATATGCTAAATAATCTTACCTGTCAGCTTGATTGGATTAACAGACTCCTAGAGAGGTGATTGAGTCATGGGAGCATATTCTCATCAGCGGACTAACCCATGGGTATTTACAGCTGAGTGTGTGTGGAAGGTGGGGCTTAGTTGGACATGGGTCACTGAGGATGTGCTCCCTGGGCAGTGGTACTCTGCCAAGCCCTTCTGCCATGATGTTTCTGCTTTGGAGTCAGCTAATCATGGGTTGAACGCTCTGAAACTAGAAGCCAAATAAACTTCTCCTTTAAGCTGTGGTATCAGTTATTATGTCCCATTGATGAAAAGTGACCAATGATTTAACTGTTTTTTTTTTTAAAATAGAGGGTAGAAGGTAGGAGAGGATTGGGAGTAAGAATTTCAGGTAAGCTATAAATACCTGGTGATATAACAACTAACAGTGACTGATGAATACACATTTTAAATAACTTTTCTTTTTTTGTCTTTTTGAGACAAGGTCTCACTGTGCAATTCAGGCAGGCCTTGAACTCACTTTGTAATCCAGGGGTGTTCTCAAACTTGCAACAATCCTCCTGCCTCAGTTTCCCAAGTGCTGGGATTACCAGGCATGCACCATCATGCCCAGCTTCTTAAATGACTCAAGCAAGATTTTAGTTACTTCTATAATGAAAACATACTTGGCCATTCTGATAAAATCCAGCAGAGGTAGCTTTGGAGGAAACACAAAACTATTATCTCTGGAATACCTACTGTCTTGCAAATGAATAACAGCAAGAAATTCGTAAAATTAGAGTAGCTATCTGGTGTCTAGGTGGGGACAGCTAGGAATCTCCATGAAGTCACGCATTGCTGAACTGTAGGTAAGCCAAAGCTAAGTAACAGTATCTGTGCCCCTCAAGAAGATCCAAGTTGCTGTTGGAAAACCATAATGATGTGCCCTTTTCTGAATGTAATTTGTTTTGTATTTTTGTGCTTGAGAAACTCTAGATTTACTAGACTGAGGGGAATCTTTCTAAGAACTGGGCTGGTATAAGGAGCCAAATTGTTTCACAGATCACAACTGGACCCTTGCCCAGGGAATGCAGTATTTCATGCTGGGAAACTACACCAAGCGAACACTTATTGTAGAGAAGAAAAAGAACCCCATTTTCCCTTTCTTTGGCCGCTTTGGCACCCTTCCTCCCCCAATCTACGGGGTACTAGCACTAAGAAAATACCACAAAATAAATCTAAAACTGACAACAGGAGAGTGCTTGTAATGACTCCTAGAATTTTAAGGATTAAGCCTTTCTTGAATACTTAATAGGATAATCTCATTTTTATTTATTTGTATTTCTACAGAAAGCTGAGGCAAGATGGAGCCCTCTCTCCTGATGTTCTTACAATATTTTCATTCTAAAGTGAGAGTAGAGAGTAAAGAGATGTAAGCAAGAGAGGAGAAAGAGGATCATTCAGGATCTGTCTCGAATCTTCCCAGGATGGTTCTTGTCATTTTATTCAAATTAAGTATGAAAGTATCTTTAGAGTTGAAAAGGCAAAATTGGGTGTGCGGGTGCACCCTGTCTTCCCAGCGATTGGGAGGCTGAGGCAAGAGGATTGTGTGAGTTCAAGGCAGCCTGAGCTGCAGAGTGAAACCTTGTCTCAAAAGGACAAAAAACCCCAAGCAAGCAAACAAACAAACACAGAAAAGCCTATACAAATTTAAATTATTTATATCCATCATCCTTTTAGAGTCCACTATTTATTAAGAAAAAGGCACTCCAGCTCCTTCTTAAATAAATTCTTACATATACTGAAATACGGCGGTTTCTGGAAACTCTAAGACTTCTGACTGCAGAGGGAAATGATTTGTAAGTGGTGTGAAGCTACAGTTTATGATGCCCTGTCTTTGGAAGTTTCCGATTTGGGATTTGAGAAAGTTCAGAAGAGGAGATAACAGCCTCTCTAGATATTACACAGCACGTAGAGAGTGCTTAACCTCTGAAGTCTCCTTTCCTCTGAACCAAGTCTGGGAGGAGGGAGAGCGCAGACAGCCTTCATCTCCTCCCTGTGTATTCTAATGTTAACAGCCAGAGAATCTTTGGATTTATTTATGTTTGGTCCTGGCAAGGAAAAGGTACTTTTTCCAGAAAATATATGTAGTTAGGACAGTCACAGATTCAAAGGAGGAGTTTGGGAAATATCGGAGGAAAGTACTTTTCTCAGTTATGGGAAAGAAAATATGAGGTGCTCACGATGAAATGCAAGTATATCAATACCAATTTTTTTCTTTATTGAGCATGTAAGGATTATAAAGGGACGAATGTAGTGTAATATCATATGTCGTATGATATTTTATATGTGTAAAATTTTAGATTTAAATTCCATTCTTATCTCAAAGAAAAATTAATGTTGAAACCTCCATGAAAATGTTTGCTATTTTTAAGTAAACTCTATTCTCATTATTAAGTACTTACTTGATAGTAATCCTGCCCACCAAAGCCATTCCTTGAGGTAAGAATGACCACCTTTTCCTAGGAAAAACAAGACTAAAAGTTAAATTTTGCTACATTTGATCTTAGCCAAAAGACTGAGAAGCAATAAAAAAATTAAATTTTGAATTAGGGGAAGAGGGATAGAAAATTGAGTACCAGGAAAGACGCTAGATTATATTGAAAAAAACAAGGCTCAAATGAATAAATGAGGTCTTTAGAGTTTTTTAGTCATTTAAAACTGACATCACCTTTGATTTCTGCAGAAAGTTTTTTCCTCATGTGAAATTGTATTTAATAATCAAGTTCACTGTACTTACGTCAGACTTACAGACACTGAATATTATAAACTGAATATTTTGTTTAGTCATGGTAAAAAAATCCTGTAAGTCATAAATTGCATTGATAACTAATGAAGATTTCAAAGGAAAGAAGAGAGCTTGGATTAGTCAATACAATATTTACAATAATAATATTTACAATAATAAACATTAGTTACTTAGCACTTTTTACCTTGGCATAAGGAATTTTTTCCTGGAGTACTTATTGAAAAGGACAAAAAGCTTTCCTAAGGTATTCAACAAATTACTTACTTCTGACATGATAGTGACAGTACTATTGAAGGCATTGTAATGTTTGCTTTACAAAATGAAATTTTCTCAGTTTTAATATACTTAACTCCCTAACTTTGATCTAGATGGTTTTGTTATAACTAAACTAAACAAGATATATAAGCTATAAAGCTTTTGTCTTGTGAAGTAGTTAACTACTTTTACTTAGGAGTATCTGCTTACAAAATCTGCAAATGATCGAATAGGAATTATTGGACTTTATTACAGTACAGCTAGTATTTTGGGGGGAGGGGCTAGGGGAATAATGTTTACTTACGGCTATTTACTATGTGTATTTCCACAGAGAAGCTATCTTATCTTTGTCTGTTTACTTTCTTTTGATCAATCTAGTCATATCTTTATTTATAGGGAATCAATCCTTCCTTTATCTTTATGAGAAAAGCCTTCCTTTAGGTTTATTACAAAGATTATTTCATTTTAAAGTTAACCCTAAACTTTGTGGAATTTATTTTTTTGAATAGTATAAAGTAGAAATTTTGTATTTCTTACCTACTTTTTTCAAAGTGTTTCCACAGTTTTAATTAAATAATTCATTTTTCTGCACTGGTCTGAAAAGCCACTTTAAAAAAAATCACATGTTAAACATGTGTATGTGGGTCCACTTACTTTTAATAATCTCTTAATATATTAGTATAACGCCATCAGTAAGCTATTTTAATTAATATAGCGATATTGAATGTTTTCTTTCCTTTTTTATTTTAAAGAGAATAAAACAAAAGGGAACAGAACAAAGCAAATCAGAACAGAACAATGCAAGCAACACAGCACTTCACAACAAGACAATCGTGTATCAATAGTAGCTACCGTAATATCTCTTTTCTTCGACATAGTTGCGCATACCTTCACACACAATAATAAGAAACATAACAAAATATAACAAAACCATTCAAGAGGATGAAACTATTACAGGACATTCAAGACCAAATAATAGGAAATGAGCAATGGCTACTATAATATCTCATTTTCCTTTAAAAAATTTGTTTATATTGTCATACATATTAAAATCCAGTAAGACACAACATGATAGAACCAATGGAAACAGAAGAACAAAAGCATGGTAGGACTTCAAAGCAAGATGATATTAAATCAGCAATGGCTACCATAATGTCTTGTTTTCTTCAAATAGCTGTTCATACCATCACACATAAGAAAATCAAACAAAACAGAACAAAACCATTCCAACCAATGAATGAAAACAAGACTTCAAAGCAATATAATAGGAAACCATGATGACCATAAAATCGTATGGTAATTATACATTATAAGAAATGGTAAAAGTACCATTTCTTATACTAGAGAGATTCTATGGTATTTATACGTGTGAGTTTGATTTAGTTCACTTATGAGTATGGTTATGTTTTATTTTCTAATGGTACAAATCTCCCTCAAAAGTACATTTTTAGAAATTTGTTTGCATAATGTTTAGTCATTTATTTTTTTCATATGGGCCTAAATTCACAATGTTGAAAATGTATAGAAAATTCACGACTCATGAAGGAAAGTCAGGCAGAGTCTACTGGGCAATTGAAATGTCACTATACATTAATGACCTAAGTCTGCTGGTATCATTGATTTAACAATCATTGTTCAGGTGCCAGACGCTGTGAGGGAAGGTTCTCGCCTTTATGAATCTACTATCAATACACAAGTAAACCTGCTGACAACAATCAACAACCCGTGCACAACTACACTTAATTCTAGGAACGAAGAAAGGAGCTGCTGGTGCTGTGCTGGGGTGCTGGGGATCAGGTGCAGAGGCCGCCTGTCTGTCAGGGCGCTGAAGGAGGCCTTTCTAGGGTGCTGGAATTGAAACCAAAGTCAGAAGAGCAGCCGCTGAATGCAGTGCAGGGAGAAGAGTGTTCCAGACACACAAAAGACCTCAGTCAGGGAAAGAACTTGGGTTATTCCAAGAATGGGGGGAAAGGAGGTCACTGGGGCTGGCTCTTAAGAGGAGGCTGAAGGGGCCTAAGGGGCTGCTTTTAATATTTGTTTGTTTGTATTGTTTTTGTCTTTTAAAGACAGAGTCTCGCTATGCAGTTCAGGCTGGCCTTGAGCTCACTAGGTAGCCCAGGATGGTCTTGAACTCGCAACGATCCTCCTGCGTCAGCCTCCCGAATGCTGGGATTACAGGTATGCGCTACAGGTATGCTTTATGTAGGAGGTCAGAGACTGTGGGGGACGCAGCCACCTTAAGTAAGGAGTCAGGGGCTAAAGTAAGTAGAAACAGTTGGTGATTACAATGGTAGCATTGTGGACTCACAAGAGGATTGTTCTGTCGCTGGAAACTTGAATTCATTCGTTGTGTGTTTCTTACCTGCTCGAGTGGCACCTTTGCTGGCCAGCTGCAAGAGGCCCTTCTTTTTCAGTATGAAGCTGGAGCCAATACAAACACTGGAACTTATGGCCAGTAGCAAGCCCACAAAAAGACTGTACTTGCTCTCTACATTTGTTGAAGTGCTCAAGTTGGTTCTACTGGAATTCGGGTTCGTGTAGAGGACAGAAGCCAGCAGCTGTGACACATTAGTGATCTCACACCAAGCTTGGGAGGAGTTTGGACAGACCAGAGACAGCACGTCGCCTGGAGGAAGGGAAGAAAAATGTCAGGAGTACAAAGGATAAGATGTGTTGAATACATGTATCAACACCTCTCTATGAATGGACTCATTATGCACAGCAAACGTGTAGTATTAAAAAAAAAAAAAAAAAAAGAAAAAGAAAGAAAAAAGAATGCCAGGGACATGTATTAATACTTACCTGCTTTTGCAAGAAACAGACTTAAAAGGATGGTACTGAAACACTCGCAGTGTGTTCAGGGCTGTCCCTCACAGGCAGGCCACAGCCCTACCGGTGTTTTCTATTTGGTTTGTTCTTAATTGCTTAAATTGATTTTTTTTTTATTTAAGAGGAAAAAAGAGAAAAACACAAAACAAAACAAAGCGGTGTAAGGGTACACGTAATACAGAACTACAAAAAAACAAAACAAAACAAAAAAAAAACATAACAGTAAGAAATCACCTGTTAGTAGATTACATATTATCATCTTGAAAATAGTTGCTCAAATCACAGTATCAAAGAATACAAGGTGGACATTCAAACAGGGAGACTGCAAACAGCTGTGTTCAATGATCCAAAAACATTGATATAGTCAGCTATTCAACACCCCTAAACACACTTGCTGTTATATCCGTTAGAGCTCTTTTTCTTTTTTTTTCTTTTTTTTCCCTCTCTTTTTTACAACAAAATTTACACATTTTGGATTTTATTACTCCTTAGTGCTTATTACTTTTTTGGGGGGGGGGAGAGAATACAGTCAAATATGGCAAAACAAAGCTGTCAGTCAAAACCAAGGATAGACATAGCACATGGTGTAGAACAGAGTACAAGGTTATCAACAATGGTTATCAGTGTTGTCTCTTGTTTCCTTAAAAAGAATTGTCTATCTCATTAGATATTATAAAGTTGGACAAAACAGTAGAGAACAAGACCAATAAAATTAGGCATTGTAAACATTACAGGACTTCCAAAGAAGACAATAGTCAAACCAGAATGGGTATCTTAGTGAATCTTATTGCCTTCAAAGTAGTTGCCTATGTCTTCAAACTTGATACTATCATATAGAATGGAACAGAGTCTAATCAGTCAAAACAAGATCGTGGGAGTACTACAGGACTTCAAAACAAGTTAATAGGAAATCAAAAAGAGTTACTATTTATATATCCTAATTTTTAAAATTTTTTCTTTAATTAAGACAAACATAAGAAATGACTAAATAATTTTTTTTAAAAGAATAAGGGGGAGATTGAGATAAAACAGGACATAACAATATAACAATAGAGGTCAAAGCATGACTGTTTCAGCAACCTAGTACTTCACCACCATATAACCCGACTTAATAGTAGTTACCATAGTGTCTGTCTTTTTCCTTGAAATATTTGGATAAAACTTCATATACTCTAGCTTCAAATTAAATTGATTTTTAATTGCTCAAAATGGTTGTCGCCATTTTAAAAGGAGAGATTTCACGTGAAAGTCTAGAAGCCTCTTGTAACTTGGCAATCTTTGGGTCTTTGTTCTAGCACGAGAGCAATCTGCTGGAGTCCTGAGCAGCTTCTGAGCTCCGGCTTCTGCTCAGTAATTCACCACAGTCTCCCACGTGGGCTCTGCTCACTTTCACACTGTCAGCTCGTCTCTTGTCTCTCGGAAAGGAAAGCAGTTTGTGATCGATAAATGTAGCAGAGGCCCGGCAATCCCACTGGTCTATAAATTACCACATCACAGGAAACTTAGCTAACCCATTCGGTGGGTTTGAATTGAGTGTTGCACGACAGATGTTTAAATTAAGTTTAATTTTTCTGAACAGATTTCCTAAGAAATAGACCTTCCAAGTCTGCTAACCTATCTTTTCTTAAATAAAACAGAATCTAATAGAAAAATCAATTAAACATCAGTAGGTTTTTTTTTAAAAACTTCAAAAATTTATTTATTTTTACTAATATGCGTTTTGGATTTCTCATACAAGATAAACTGCACACTATTTAAACTTGTGTGTCTAATTCACTTAACATTATGGTCTAAAAGTGCATCAATCTTTTTATACACGCCTCAAGTTTATCTTTTTATGGCAGAGTACTTTATAAATAAAGTTACTCTATAAATACTACATTTTCTTTATCCATTTATCAATTGATGGATATATAGGCTGCTTATCAGTAGGTGTTTTAAATAAGATTCAAATAAGCATGCAATTCCACTAAACCATACCCAGGATTATAAATGACTTCAAATCTTGAGACAAAAACATTAAAATACAAAATAAAACATTTTATGTTATATAAGAAACTGTTTCTAATCTCTTTGCCATGTGAATAGATGCCCAGAGTGACACTGTGACTAAATGTTCTGTTGTCTCCTTATCTGTTTTTCTTTTCAAACAGGCAAATTCTCCCAATATTAAATTACCCTAGTCAAAAAAGTTCAAAGAAAAGCTATCAAGTACAACTGTAGAATTAGAATAAAATGGCTTTACATTCGAGGAATCTGAAGAATGCATATGAACAACAATGAAAGATGATCTGACCAAATAACTCCTTAGGAACAAAACTCCCGTGAGTGGGTTTATGTAATGCAGCCTTACAAACATTATGAAGTCATCTGAATTTTACTCCACACAAAGTTAGGGAACAACCACTAAATTCAGGTCAGGAAAATGGTAAGATAATTTGAATTCAGGTATTTCATGACTATTACCCAACTCTAATAGGAAAATGAGCCAACTTTGTTTTTGAGATACAGAACAAATTCCGAGTGGAAACTCAGGACTATTCCAAGGAGAATTACTTTACTTCAGGGATATATATACTATTGGGGAATATTTAGGCCGGTTGTTTTACTAAGAACTCCTGCAAACTTTCACGCGTTAGGCCTTAGTAATCTTGTTATGCTCACTGTGCACCTCACCTAAGCCCCAGGAAGGGAAAATGAATATTTATATTTTTGTTAGTAAACATTTTGATTACAGTCACTCTTGAGAAAACCTCCGACTTGACTTGTTAGTGAATCCTACTCCTGCATTCATGTCTTTCACCATGTAGTTAACATAACCATTCCAAAACTTCATCTCTGAAATCAGGGTGGGTGGATCTCATTCCTGGGAAACAATATGCCTTCTAAGCCATTGACATAGCGAAATGTTCCCAACACTGCAGTAAGAGTGGAGCAGAGGGCCACAAGGTGGAGCAGACCATCTCTGTCACACTTGCCAAGTTCTTGTAAGTGGCAGACGTGAGTGCTGCGAGTTTTATGGCAGGAAAAACAGTAAAACTCTTGCCTGGCTATTGACCTTAGAACTTAGGCTGTTGTACGTTTTGGGAGCACGTTAGGGAGCCAGTGTGTAGCCCCGATGGCTGAGCAGGGAGGAGGAGCGGAGCTCAGTGGGTGTGGAGGGTATGGGGAGAGACGGCAGTGGCCATGTGGGCAGAGTTCAGAGTGTTTCAGAGGAATCCAGGCTGTCTCCAATCAGAGATGGTTTCTCAAGATCCAAGCAAGCAGAGTAATTATGCAGGGTGTTTAATGCTAACTTTATTTTATTGTTCATGATTTTATAAACATTACCAATATCCCTCTAAGTGACTGTACTGACATGTACTCTTGCCAGAATTATGTATAACTTTTTCATGTTATTATTTTTTCTAAATATTAAATAATAAAGTTAGGAAATAAAGGAAATAAGTGTCGATTTTAAAGAAAAATAATTCAATATCGTATACATCCATATATCATTCAATTTAAGAAATAAAAAAAGCATTGCTCCTCAGAGATAAAAACTATTCTGATTTTCTCTTTAATATTCTTTTGCTTTAAAAAGAAATTATTTCCTGTTTGATTAAACCTTTAAATAATAATCTTGCCTCCAAACACTGTATTCTTTGGTAAACTGCTTGTTTTTAAGGTTCACCTGTGTTAATGCATATGGAAGTGTTGTTTTGTTCCCTAGTATTCTGGCATATTACTCACAATTAATTTTTCTATTATAGTTGGTGCACATTTAGGTAATTCGTGATGTTTTGGCTTATGAGCAGTACTGCTATATTGAAGCATATAAACTTAATATCAGAAGATTAACACACACATTATCTCAAAATGTAAAAACAAAGTTAAATGTTCTAAAAGATTATGTACTTTGCCCACCTTAAACTCTATACTACGCATGATCAGAGCCAAGATGAATAATCACTCTTCATTGTTTTAATTTCTTCATCTCTAAAATGAAGGCATCTGACTCACTGATGGTAATGATGCCTTCAACCTTACATAATACTGTGGTATGATATTAATGTAAAAGTGTTCCCAGAGTTGTTTACAATCTCATTAGCTCATAATATGCTGCTAATAGATTCGTTTTAAACCTACAGGCCCTGATAGCCAGAAGACTTTTCAGTTTTATTTTTTGTTTTTCTCAGATAGGGACTTGCTATATAGCTCAGACTGACCTTGACCTCACTATGGAATCTAGGCTTGCTTGAACTCATAGCAATCATCCTGCCTCAGTCCCTCGAGTGGTGGGATTATAGGTATGAGCTACCACGCCTGGCAATCAGAAGACTTTTTAAATAAATTGATGCCAAGATTTTATTTTATTTATTTATTTTTATCGGTACCAGGGATCAAACTCATGACCATGTGCTTGCAAGGCAGGCGCTTATGCCACTGAGATAAATCCTCAGCCCCAAGATTTTAAATGAAGAGCCAGAATTACATAACTGCCAAAACCAAGGCCAACAAAGTTAATCTCCAAGCCAGTATTTTGATTTAAAAAAATATAAACTTAAAATACAATGAAAGCCAGTTAAAATACTAATGGTTATACAAAGATAAATTTTTCTATAATACTATTTTTCTATAGAAAACAATAAGTATTTACTATTATGTTTATTGGTACATATTAGACATTCATAATGATCACATTCATCATAAGGAATTTGTACCTGTACCTGATATATCTTTATTCCTCTTTTTTTCTCATCCCCCAACCCTCTCTTCAAATCCTCTTCCCCTCATTTACAAAGCTTTGTTTCCATT